AACGAAATTGGTGGTGACGATAAGGTTTTAGCACGAACTAATAAAATTTCAATGCACATCGATACTGATAACTCCCCTCCAATTAGACAAAGGCAATATCCAATTATTTATTGAATATATTAAATAAAGAACTTGATGACATGTTGAGGTTAGGTATAGTAGAACCCTCGCATAGTAGTTGGTGTTCTCCCGTTTTGTTAGTAAAAAAGGCAAATGGCGAAATGAGACTGTGTTTCGATGGACGTAAACTAAATGAAGTCACGAAACATGACAGTTACCCATTGCCGAAGGTAGATCGAATATTAAGCATGTTGAAACAAGCAAGGTTTATTTCCTCAATAGACTTACGTAAAGCTTTTTGGCAGATTCCACTTGACATGGAATCTCGCGAAAAAACTGCTTTCAGTGTACCTGGGAGAGGTTTGTTCCACTTTACTTCTGTTCCCTTCGGATTATGTAATTCAGAACAAATGCTATGTAGACTCATCGACTCTATATTTGGTCCCAAATATGAACCAAATATATTTACCTATCTTGATGACATAATAGTTATTTCTTCTACATTCGAGGAACATTTGGTTTTATTGGCAGAAGTCAGAGATCGCTCAAAGGATGCTGGTCTTACAGTTAACTTGAAGGAATGTGAATTCCTGAAGCCATCGTTGAAATATCTTGGTTTCATAATAATTGACGCAAATGGCATTCGAACAGATCCTGATAAAGTCGCCACGATGGTCAACTACGCCAGACCTAAAACGGCAATGGAAGTGAAGCGTTTCATTGGTTTATGTTCGTGGTATCGGCGTTTCATTAATAATTTCTCTACCTTAGTTTCACCGATCAATAATATACTAGTTGGAAAACGTAAGCGACAATCAATATCATGGACAGAAGAAGCTGAAGATTCTTTTATCAAAATAAAAGAAGCTCTTATTTCGGCTCCTATTTTATGTAGCCCAGATTTTGATAAACCATTTGTGATACAGACAGACGCCAGTGACACTGGAGATTTTTCTTTTGAGGTTGCGGACAAGGTTTGGAGAAAAAATAAAGTGCAGTCGGACGCGACTAATCAATTTTCCGCCAAATTAGCTCCCAAATATATCATGTGTACTATATCGAGAAAAATTTCCAACATAGTTTATTCACTAATAAATGCCGATGGTTCGCCAGGCGGCAATTGGCACATTAAAGACCTGAAGCCATACTTTGGTTCAAATTCAGATGTGTCGATGTAAATTTGTACAGTAGCTCTAGACGTTGATATTACATTATTAAACATTGTCACCAGTGACTCTATAATGATGTATAAATAAAATTTGGTATGTAAATAAGTAGATATAGGTAAAAATAATATGGCGTTATCGCTCAATTATTGACTGGTTACTTGTGTGAGACTGAGCTATTTTGACTTAACCCGATTATGAATTTCCCAAATATGTATGGCACAAAAAGTTTCCTTCGAAAGGACGTATTGTACGCGTAGATACAAATGTTATGAGCACCGTCAATGATAACGTAATATTTTTATAAAAATAGTCCAAAGAACTATTTTTACTTTTTCGGAAGGGGATGGTGTAGCATTCGAAAATGCTACCATTTTAACATTTTAAAGATTACTTGAGGTTCAACAGAAAATATCATTAAAAAGTTATAGGTATCTTTATGAAGCCGAAAAGGTATGGAAAGCGAAATTAATGTTCAACTTTTCAAGAATGGATAGCGCTCAGAAATGTTCAAACACAGTCCAGACTAACGATTCAATTCATAATGTAGTTTGTCACCCTGGCAGGGCGAACTTTGAACTCTGATTATTGCATTCAGCCAGGTGGCGCCCATTACATAATTTTGTACTGTTCTCAGTCAGATGTACACTCAAATGCCTTCAACTTTAATTTTTGCTCACCAAGACGAACAGCTGCCGGAGCTGCACTTTATTTCCAACTGAGAGGAATAAACGTTGCAATATATAAATTCATTCAAACCGGTGTATATCACATTTACCTCTGTCAAATGTGTAGTAAATGACTGGACCTAATATTCAATGTATAACACACTTACCCCTGTCATTTCAGAAAATAATGGTGCCTACATATATAGGCAAAAAACCAAACCATAGGCTTTCAAATATAATGAAAAGTACCTGTGAGCTGCCATAACCAATATCAAGTCAAAAAACAATTTATAATGCTGCGAAAAAAAATACTGTGAGAAATAACTGTTTGAATTTTTTTGAAGAACTGCAAGAGAGAGTTGGAAATTTCGTAGTATGAAATAGCATCAAAACCACCTTCAACATTAACTTCCGCGACAAAAATTGATTTCTGTTCGAATTTTGAAAATTCCCCAATACGGTGAATATTCTTGAAAGATAGCTCTATACCTATTCATTATAAATGAGTATTTTGATTTATTAGAAACATCTTTGAACAATATTCATCTACAAGACATGCCGGAACGCGTGTGAAATTTGAATAAAAGGAGTCTCACTTCAAATCTTCGTAAATCTAAGGAAGTGCTACTGAATAAACTCTCGTAGAGAATTTTTAATACTCCTAGGTAGATGAATACAAGCATCGGTTTGGTGTATGAGACAGCAAAGAATCACATGAGTTGGACCAATAAATTGCTCTTCTTTATACCAAAGTATTCAGTCACTATAATGCAGCTAGTAAAAAGAGGTGGATGGAATCAAGTATTTTTTAAAACTATTCTCTGCATACTATTATCTCATCAGTTGATAAAGGGAGACTTGTTTCACGGCTTCTCAACTCACGTAAGTGTTGGATATATTGAAGCTGCAGTTCGAAAAAACATCACAATATTGAAACTTCCACAGCACACCAGCCATTTGCTGCAACCGCTTGATGTATGTGTTTTTGAATTGTTTCAAACCAAGCGGGATATAAAACTGATAATATAGCAACTGTGGAATAGAAATTGCCAAATAATTCATTTTCTCAATTCCTTCGTTAGATATGAAAACATATTAGTCAAATTGTTAAATTAATGGATTTAAAAAGCTGATATATTTCTCTATATGATTAAAAAGATTGCCAATGAGATTTCTGAACCTTTGACTCACTTTCATTGAGGGAAAGTTTCCTGATATACTGAAAATGTCAAAGGTTTTGCCTATATACAAAAATAAGGGCGCTCGATCTGACTGTGCATCTTACAGGCCTATATCGCTACTGAGTCAGTTTTCTAAGATTATTGAATACTGTTTCTATCAAAGAGTTTATGATTACTTTGAATCATTCAGATTATTTTCTTCTAGTCAGAATGTAAGAAATAAATCAACAGTTGGTGCAATTGATCAACTCATCAAACATGCGCTGGAAATTTCGGAAAATAAACAGCAAAGCCTTCAACCTCGTTGACCATGACATATTGTTACACAAATTGTTATACAATTGTTACACAATTGGTATACGTGGCTCTGCATTGAATTGGGTTGGATCTTACCTGTCTGATCTTAGTCAGCTGGTCTGTGTAAATGAAATGAATTCTGAAAAAAAATGTATATGTTTGACTTGTTGAATTAGCCAGTATTTTATGATGATGTTTTCTTTCTAATGTGATTGTGAAGGAAAACTGATTCAATAAATTGATTGATTTATTGATTGATATATAGCTAGAAAAAACTTTCAACCAAAAGCAATCAACAGGTGATAAAACGAAAATGATATAATCAAACATATTGAAGGAACAGAACTAGGTATATCTGAAAATGAATCTGATGACGTCGTCAGTTCTTCAAATCTATACGTGGCTACTAACATTTGTATAATCGATATTTGTTGCAAAATGACAAAATCCTATGCCGTATGAAAAACAAGCAAAAAACACTAGGTCCCGGCTTTGGGATATCAACTTCATAGGAAGCTCTCAGCCGCATTAAAAATTCAGAAAAAGAGCTCCGATGAACAATTCGATACTACCGCTTGACCACACGATTCTAGTAAAGAAGATATGAACTTGTCACCTGTTCACAGGAAATCAGATGATGATGCTAAATTTTCACAAGATTTGCAATAAGCTGATATAGCCGAAGATTTTAAAATCCAGCCTATCCAAAGTGACAGAATTACCTTGTAATTATTCTTTGTCGTCCCTTGCTTTCAGCAATATGTCTCGTTGCAATGATTTTAGTACCCGACAGGGTTTATATCTCATGTCTGTCACACTCATCAGCTTCTCCTTAGAAGTAATTTTTGGGTATTCTAGCACCTGGTGTAGGACCAATCTATTCCTGTCCCATATTTTCATCACACACGGTATTCCTAGAATGTCTGTAAAAAATTTCTCACTTCTTTGAGGTCTGAAATTAGTATTCTGTGTGTATTACAGATTACAGGCTTGTGTTATGTGGCTTCCAAACATGTTCAATGTTCGTTCCTCCACATCTTCCAAAATTTCAATTTTGACCAATCTAATGTAGCTCGGTGATTTTCTCATTCTGTCATGACCCCCACTCGTGCATCACACGTAAAATTGGATGGATCTAATAGAGTCTCTTAAGCTGCTGTTGATTTTGTTCTCAATTAAATATAATTTTATCGATGGTATTCTTCAAATTACCGACTGGTCTAACAAGAAGGTGAAAAAAATCGAAAGGGCTCACTAATACTTTCTCCGAACTGTTCTGTTAAAGAGCCGTCAATGGGTTCAATGAGACGGGAAGAATCAATAAAATGTGTATATAAATCCGATGAATGAAAATGATTATAATGATGTTTCAGATTGGCGAAGGCGAGAGTACCAGGGTAATATCGGTAAACCCCTCCAAAAACGTACCCGCTAAAATAGCTTCGTTTGGTCAAGAAGTAATCAGCGCGTGGAAACGAGACATTTATCTTCATTGTCGTCGGGTTGGCATTCCCTTGCCCAACGCCGTCTGGAAACTGAACGACCTACCACTGGAAGTTGGCGGTCGGCGTTCTATTTTAGCCAACGCCACTCTAGTTATCAAAGACATTCAAAGCGTAGATCAAGCCAACTATTCCTGCAACGTGGAGAATCAGTACGGGCGAGACGAGATAGTGTATAGTTTGAAAGTGTTGGTTCCGCCAGAGGCTCCTGTGTTAACTGTTGTGGAGTCCTTTACGGACAGCTTGCAATTAAGGTGGAGCGACCAGGGTAATGGCGGTTCGCCCATTTTAGGATATGTTATTAATTATAAGAGAAATCATGGAGACTGGGAAGAATTGCAGATTTCTGCAAGGACTGATGAACACATGCTGAGGAATTTATGGTGCGGTACTAAGTACCTTTTATACATTACTGCCTTCAATAGAATTGGTACTGGATTGCCTTGTGACATCGTACCGGCTCACACGAAGGGTACAGGTGAGTACGATTTGACCACATTATTTTGTACTATCGTGCTTATAACTTATATGTGTATATTCAAATATGATTTGCAGTAATATTCAAGAAAATATAGAACCGTCAAATAAATTTAATCGAACAATGGCTTATGTGGTATGGTTGACATCAAACTGATAGACTCCTGATAGACTCGAAAGTTGTTTCGACTGTAACGAAGCCTGTTCCAAAATAAGTGATGTTGCTTCAATTTCCTCCAGGGTGGCTCTATTATTTGGATGTAACAAATTAATTCCTGTTGCCAGGCCATGTTGATACCAATAACTAGTTGATTTTGAAGACGGTCGTTCAAACTATCGGAAAATTCACAATTTCCTGTCAGTCCACGGAGAATGTTCATAAACTGGGTAATAGTTTCACTGCCCTTTCGATAACGGAGCGCAAATGCTACCCTTTCAGACAAAATATATTTTGTCTTACCATGATATTTGTTTAGTACGTTCACGATATCGTCAAAAGACTTCGTTGTCACTTCATCTGGCTTAAAATGATCAACCAGAATCTTTAAATGTTCAGGTCCTACCTTGCTCAAAAACAAATTACGTCGTTTCACTTTAGTAGGCTCATCGTTTGTGTCCAGACCATGAAGTTGTAATTCCATTTTGAAACGTTGTATGTAATACTCCCAGCCTTCTTTTTCCGGAGAAAATATTTCAAACTGGAAATATCTCAAGTATTCTGTATAAGTTGACATTGTTCCCTTGAACTTGAATGACACAGATCAAATTATCTGGTTGGTTCAGCTTGTTGGCTGCTTGTTTTTTCGTCGTACTGTTTGATATGTTTATCTGTCTTCTAAACTCTCACTGGTTTATCTTCGTCGCCATAAAATGTGGTATTGTTAGGTTGATTACAATAATCACTTTCATTAATGATAGTCGATGTGTTTGTTTATTGTCATAATCAACATCACATAACATTAGAACTGTCAGATGAAAAACTAAAATTATAAACGTGGAACATGATACTACAACTTAGTTGGGCAGAAAAACATAGAAAACTTTTCTTCAAATGAATAGAAGAAACGCAACAGTATGCACCAGATCTGAAGTTTCTTCCTTTTTGAAAAATATGTTTTTAATTATTATGAATTGACTTCTCCTATGCGCAGTTGTTGTTTTGTCAAACTTTGTAGTTTTTTTTTTGTTTTTCTACGTAGACATTCTTTGCAGTGTTCTATTACATTCTTGTTCAGCTTTCCGTTCTTTCATTCACTGAGTGGTTTATTTTCTATGTTAGGTTAGGTTAGGTTAGGTCCAAAGTGAGTGGGTCTATTCGACCCTCCATCGCAACCCGCAGGGGTATTGTGGGTCACACCTGTTCACACTCGACCAAATAAACCCAGCTCCTTAACGAAGCCGATTAGTTTGTATGGTGAGTCATCTGTCAGGTTGGATGGTAAGTGTACGGCTCTGATGAACTCTAAAAACATAATTCGGGTCCCAGCGGGGCAGGCACAAAGTATGTGCTCTGCCGTTTCATCATTTTCCAAACAGAGGCGACACACACTCTCTTCCGACATTCAGACTCTATACATATGATTATTCAAATGACAGTGACAGTCCAACAACTGTTTAGTATCAAGCTTCGAAGGGTAAATAATAAGATTCTGCCAGAAGTCCATATATCTTCTGGTCATCCAGGTATCCCATGTTTGTTTGGCAAAGCCTAAAGCGATGCCAATGACAAGTTCTGGTCCGATGAAGCTGCTTGCAGCACTCTCCTTTGCAAGGGAGTCAGCAGCCACGTTGCTTCTCAGGCCAGTATGGCCAGGAATCCAGACCAGAGATAATCTGTTAAGTCTTCCTATCGGGGAGAGTCGTTTTTGGCTATTTGCCACCAATTTACTCGTTGCTCGGTAGGAGCCAAGAGCTTTCAACGCCACTTGACTGTTCGAGAATATTTTTATTGACTTCCTAGGCAGGTTGATATCTCTGTCCTGGGTCTGCACCAGAACCGGAAGGTGTTTTCGATCCATCTGTGAACCAACAACTATCTGCTCTTAATATTTCCAATCTTCTCCAGTCTTCTCTATTCGGAAACAGTACTTTATAAGGCAGTTCGTAGTTGACTTAGTTGACGTAGTGACGTAGTTGACAGAGGTCATTTCTAGAATGGTCTGACTTACAGTGTCAACCAACAGTCAGTTGATTTGTGCAATTGGCGATGTTCACAAGTCTAAACGCTGTCCATCTAGCCTCTCTCTCCAGAAAAACGTGTAGAGGAGGTAGATCTAGAAGAATCTCCTTGGCCGCTGACGGTACGATACTTATGGCACCACTTCACAAACACATACTCCGGCTTTGGAATCAGAATAATGAACATATTCCGGAAAGGTGCAAATGGTATGCTCGGGTACAGGTGAAAATTCCTCACCCTTGCCTCTCATGTGAACCTACTATTTTGTAGGTACGTTTGGCAGATACCCGACGTATGAACAAGAACTGACCCAGAAAGCTGAAGTAAAAAAATTTGGCTTGGTCCTTAGCGTCGGCAGTGGGTCCACAGGCTCTGGTTTTCATATTCCTGGACATGTCTCTCGTCCAGGGAAAAAATCCACGTGATTAATATTTGAAGGTTCATTATGAAACTTGATGGATGTTTTGAATCAATAGACAAATATTTTTTCATGATGAATACGAATGGTGATTTTTCATGATAATTTTTAGAATGTTAGTCTCTGAATATAGAAAAAAATAATGATGAAGTACATTTCGAGTATCATGTAACAGTATATAACAGTATATAAAATATTTTGCAGTACCAGTTCAGCCAAAACAATCTCAAATGCTAACGATGAATGCCACAGTTCTAACTGTTTGGTTGGACTCCTGGGGTGACGGTGGCTGCGGTATTCTGTATTTCATGGTGGAATACAAGCCAACTCGACATTCGTCTTGGACAACTTCTTCCAATCACGTCAAACCTACAGAGAGGATTTACAGCATTCAAGATCTGTCACCAGCAACGGAATACCAGCTCAAAATTACTGCCCACAACAACGCTGGTGATACAGAAGCTATCTACAACTTCACCACATTGACACCTCTAGGAAGTTAGTTGATCAATCAGTATTATAGAGTACAATTTTGTAATTGAAATTGAATAATAATAAATTTTTCTTGTTCATAGTGGGCTACATTGGCCACTTTTGAAGGGAAACTCCTGTTTTCTAACTAGATAGATAAAAACTGAAAGCTGTGTCTGAAAGTCAAATTTTATGACAATCTCAATGGTGAAAACCGCATATCGATATCTTTCATCATTTCTGACTAACAGCATTGTTTTCGAAAATGTGCATTTTCGAAAAATTGCTGTAACATTTTTCCTGTCGAAAATTTCTTGTTTCTATGAAAACATATACGAAGCACTTTTTCACTTTTTCACTTGATGTTCTGCTAGAGTCATCTTTCAAATACAGGGCTATTGGGTTTTTTCATGTAGAATTTGAAACACACAATTTGACCGAGTAGGCTTTGGACAACGCGGTGTTAAAACAGAAAGAAATTATTCAGTAGTAACTATCAAATATTGATAAAGCTTTTCACACCAGTAATTATAATGCATTGGTTAAATAAAACTGATAACAACTAACTAACTATATAACTATATTACTAATAAATGAAACTTCAACAATAATAATAATAATAATGATAAAGGACCAAAAAAATATATATTTTTTCAGAGAAGGTGTTCGAAATGTATACCACCCACAGACGATACATTTTCTGAACGTTTTTTTGTCGAATCAATTGGTTCAATAGGAGTGAGGAAAGCAAAACTTTGCATCACTGCCGCTTCCAAAACGTATCTAAAATTGATCAGCAAATCCAAAATTGAATATTTCAACCCACCCCATAGGTTAAAGTCCCTAGACGTTAGGTTCGGTGACCTGGCCGGTCAGCGGTTGGATCCTTAGTTGAATATCCAATGATTACCAAAATTCGCGGCCACAATATTGGTGACAATTGCAGTATTGTCTTGTTGAAAATTAATTTTTTCTGAGCTCCATAACGGGCAATTCATCAACAAGGGATTCAATGTTTTGCTTCAGAATTTCTAAATACCTGTGATATGTGAGAATGCCATTATGAATGAACTGGCCGATGAGGATTTTGTTGTGCCCAAGTATAAGAATTGCAGAGGTTGAAAATGTCGGCACTGCTCACAAAAGCTTCATCTGTCCATGCACTTGGTTACAACTTTCCAGGAACCACTGGCAAAAAGCCATGCGGCGTTTAAAATCTCCTGGTCAGAGTTGATTAACTCTTCTGGTCCTGTATGGCTTGAATTTGTTTTTTCAAAATCCTCCTAACATTGATTCTTGGTAGGCCTGTTGATATTTCCCAATTTCGCGTTGACGTTTTAAAATTATTTTCAACGGCAGCAGTTTAAGGAAAACGACTATTTCTTCCAACTCCTTATGCCTATTTAATTCATATAATTTTGGCCTTTTCTTTCCAATCAGGTTATGTCGCAATCTTGCGAAAATATCTCTGAAAGGTTTCCTTCTCTCTGGATACCTCTCTTGATACAAATTGCTTGCTGCTTCTGCATTTTCCCGGTGTGTATAAAACAGACTATCATATCCTATTTTCCATAATTCTCCTACTTCATTGCGAATGTATTCGAATATTGAACAAAAACCATTGATTGAAGAGCGTCTTTAATGTTAAAATCAAAATTTGACAACTACCGGTAAAGATTTGCATTCTGTTTTAGGGCCTACTTGATTAAAATGTGCGTTTCAAAGTTTACATGAAAAAACCAAAGATGACCAATTTGGCCCACTCTGTATATATCCAGTATGCAAAACTGCCTTTTTAGTGGTATAAATATGTTAGAATTATCAATGCAAATTGATATAACCTCAAAACCAATTCTTCAAACCACATGCATCAATTCGTCATCCAAAATTGTACTCAATAATAGATGTTGTTACATTCGAAACAATTTTTTTCATTTAGGAGAAAATGTGGCCCGTGAAAAATCTATTTTTTTCTCATTTCAGTTGTTCCAGAATTAATTCCACCAGTATCACATTCGGGAGATCATCCTTTCTATGCAAATGCCAAGGTGCTCATTCCTATAATGCTTGCACTATTGGTTTTAGCAGCGATGGTTGGTGTTTTGTTTTGGAGAAGTAAGTTGGTTGAAAATTACTCCATGATATATGATGGATAGCGAAGGAATCTCATTAGTAGAAATTATCTAACGTATGTAGGTACGGTTTCCACATACCAGAGCGATGTCAACGTTTTTCTAACCACACGTTCCAGAGGTCAAATTACAATTAAAAGAAATTGATTTTATGTAATTATTCAAAACTGAATTAGCGAATACACAGTGATACAACTCAAGTTCTTACCATATAGAACTTTCCAATGTGGACAGATATAATTGAAATTTAACGACATATTTACTTGAAAATTAACTCAATAAGAGCTCGCGTCAGTTGTTACAAGCTGTTTTGACCTTGTTTCAATTTTCAGAAGATCTAGTGGTCTCTGGTTATTTCTAAAATTGCCAAAGAAAAAAGTTGTATGTTTTTTCATATTTTTTCCATTTTTAGAAATATTACTGTTCCACTCCGATTTTTAAAAGAAATACAATTTCTCGGGAAATGATTATGATTCGAACTGTCATATGAAGCACTAATTATGTAGACCTTAGGCAGTATGAACACGCCTGAAGGAGCTATTGTATAGTGAAACACGTGATACGGTTTTGTGTATTGTTCAGTGGAAGTTTCACAATAAAGTGTTATATAAATACGTTATGAATTTTTATTAAGTATCGGTCGATTACATCACATATCTTTAGAGGAGTGATTATTGTAGAAGCCAGCTCAATAGTACATTCCTCATCTAGCCCATCTTAGAAAAGACTGCTCGTTGAAAAATATGTGGTCCTGCCCTCCAAAAACGGTGTTTGAGCAATTCTAATGAGGAAAGGAACTTCGAAAACCAATCGCATCCGGATTATTCGTGGACGAGACCTGTTACCAATTGGTACACAAAATTTATTATTTAAAAAAATAATTACTCTCATATATTTTCCATCAGTGAGGAGTAATACATTCGAATCTCACTTTGCGAATAGAGCTCCAGTATTGGTATGGGAAGCTCTTCAGGGTTGCAACTTTCAATTTATTGGCAAATCAGATAAGTGAAGATAGGCCTTCGCAATACATCAAATCAATTTCGATAATGGTACAGTATGCCTTCTTAGAGCTATTACGAAAACAGTGTAATTCGCAAGTCTTCTGTTGGAGAAGAAAGTTGAAAAATGTATTGCTCCTAGACACGACAGATGTTATTTGAAAGAAGGGAACTATTAGAGAAGAGAGATCAAGAGGATCAAATATTGTGGACAAATTTGAAAAAAATGCCCTTAGTACATGTGAAATCAACTGATCAAATAGCAGAGAAGTAATTTGAAGAAGGATTTCACTAGAATCTATGGAGTTTTGAGGATCGTTAGATTCAAAATTGCGAGAAAATGCTTCGTCACATAAAAGTGGAGTAGAAGTATAAAACTAATGATAAGGTTTGTTTGAAGCTCACTTCATGAATTCAGACCCACCTTAAAGTAGAAAACAAATTAGATGAGTCTGGAGAATTTTTACCCCACTCCCTTTGGGCACCTTCAAATATACCATCTACATTTTTGAGGCTCAATCACTCACCTGCAGCGAGGCCTTTTTTTCTGCTAAAGACAAAACATTTTGTTCGCTAAAAAGAGAGTACTCGTGTATTCTCACGTGACATATCTACATGATATACGTTGATAATTCGTCAATGAGAACTTGTCTTGCACAGAAGAATTAAATCGGACATTCTGATGTTGGAGAATTGAACAGTTCTCATAATTTTAAATTTCATACCAATTATTATCTCATATTTCTATTCCATAATTTTTTTTATTCAGTCATTCAAACATTTGGTACAAGTATTTTCTATCATTTGTGCTCTTTTAGAGTAGTAATCGCTTTTTTTAGAGGGAATAAATCCGAACCTCTAACAGTCACTGAAAAATATTTCATAAAATCTATCGAAAACAGCCATAGAAGTATGGCACACTGGAACACATTGTTGAGACCATCACAAAATTCTAGACTCAAATATAAATTAATTTTCAGGGGTTAACAGAAACGTACCAAATCGATCCATAGGCGAATCACCATCAATGGCTCAAATACAAAACAAGCAAAACCGTGATCAGCAATACCTCGCGGTTAGAGTTAGAGGCCAGCAACCATTGGCAGTCGAGGATGCATACAAGGCAGAGTCCGCTGACTACATTGAAGATATATGCCCGTACGCCACGTTTCAGCTCTCCAAACCTGCTTACAGCGAGAGCTCTTACAGCGGAAATGTCTACAGTGGGCCGTACCACTCGGTACGAGGCTCTTTTGTTTATCATGATGTTAAACCTCCACCTAATGATAAGTTTAAGTTAGGACATGTAAGTTTCTTTTCATCGTTGATTTCGTCTGTCCTTATGTTCTGTTGTGAATGAGGTTATCGTTTATTTCTTCACTTTTTTTATTTTTCATTCTATTCTTACATTCATTAACTGAATCGTTTCCAAAAGCCAAGTGAAGTATCAACATAAGCTCACTGAAAATTTGCACTCTCATGCAGCAAAGTAGTATCTCAAGCTTTACGACAGAATCTATGGATAATTTTAGAGTGGCTGCATAAAAGCGAGAGTTTTTGGCTTTCTACTTCTCCATCTTCGTACAAAAAAGGGGGAAACTTCTAAATAGAGAAAAGCAATTTCTATAAAGATGTACAAATCCTACGTGAAGTTTCCTTCAGTTACAAACTGGAAGAAGAAGCCTTTTCGAAACAACCACTTCCACATAAACAGTAAATTCCAGGAAAGAAAAACTCTTTCGAAACAACTATTTGCATATGAACATTATTTTATGTGAATCTGAAGCACTGGATAACAAAGGGTAAGCATTTATGAATAACCAAAACCAAATACAAACTGCAGGGAACAAGATTGTTGGAAAGGTTGTTGCGAAAAGATGGGAGAGAAAAACCTAATAAGATGACTCCAGGATGTCAAAAAAATCACACTTTACTAACCTTCCATTCTGAGCATATGTACAGTAAACAAAATAAAATCAGTATATTTAATTCCACCAAATTATTTCGTACTTACGTTCAAAACCTAGTAATCGACAGCATTGTCAAAGTCAATCTAATATGATAATGAATAAAGAAATGTTTTAACTGCTCTCAAATACATTATAGAAATAATATTACTTTAAATACGTATTGAAAGTGGATTCTATATTTTCTCCAGATTGATATTGAATTTTGATTTCAGAGTAAAGAACCTGAATACTCCAAAGTGAGGCGAAAAGGTGGAAGACTGAGAGATCCCCATTCAGAAAGTCAAGGTTAGAATAAATTATTAACAGTTTATTAAAAGTATCTTCAATAAACCTCGTATTTCATGCTTCTTCAGTCTTGTCAGTTGTCATAATCTTAAAGAAAAACTCGAATTCCAGTAGCAGTAACCAGTCGCTGCTTGGAACTGATGTGAAACGACTGCTTATCTGGTTTTTCAATAATTATAATGATATATTTTCCGGCATTTTCAGTGTAGAATACAAGGTCCGGTGGAATCTGTGCGAGGTGAATCAATGTATATAATACATTACTTTTTCTACAATTAGATCCAAATTATTATAAATGTTCCGGAAGACTATGTCCAATTATACTGTCAGAATTGTCACAAACATCCTCTGTTTTGTTTGATGGAGCTACTAACTCTCACAGGATTGCCGCTAGTATCTGGGTTGTTCGCTTGAGTTTGATATCTAATGCCTTGATAACGATGTGCCGTCGCGATACGTTACTGGACTTTCTGGGACAGTTGTTGCCTTCTCTTGGAAATAATGCATCCTGATCAAATTCCCTGCTCGATTCCGACATTGTAGAGAACCAAGTGGAGACTTCTTCATTTCCTTTTTATATTTTTACACTACTTTTGTTTTCCTTGAGGTTTCATATAACCACAATCGTTGGTTATGCGTGGCCTTCCTATCTAACCGCCTCTGTTGAACATAAACCAATTATTTTTCTTGAAGTTCTTCAATTTCCTCGAAAAACTCGTAGCCGGCCCTTTCTTCGAGTTGCAAAAATTGAATCTTCCAGTAGTACCTCTTTTGAATGCATACCACATACTACACTTATGTTGATGTCGATGTTATTTTACTCGATTACTGTTGCATTTCTGTTGCCTCATCTGGGCTATCATATTTTCAATATAATAGACCATCGCAGAAACATAAAGAATCCCACTGAGCACATCAACCCTTGATAACAGTACCACGCATGGAGATTCGAACTCGTTATTGAGCTAGTTTCTCACCAGTTTCAGATGATCTCTTTTTTTCTGACATTCTCTTATTCCATCAGTTGTCGATAGGACTACTTTTTCTCTTCAGGGGATTGCAATGTCTAAACCAGTTCTTTCCGCAACAATTAGAATGCACTCTTTGTTGACAATTTGTAACTTAGAGGTTTCTTTTTTACAGAACCGTTGTTTTCTCTAGTATTGGCAATTGGGCGATCTGTTGTCTATTCCCGAACTATTTTTTTTTTTCATTCGCTTTGATCTAGAAGAATCAGGATATTTCTCTCCACTTAGAGAAACCCCTTCTTTCTTCTTCAACTCACCTCAAGTATTGTTGCCCATATTGCATTTCCAGGCTCTGACAGCAGTTGATTTCAGCTGCTAGTTAATTTTATCGGCGTTTATGGTCAATGAAACTTCAGGCTCTCACCAAACTGTATGTCATGCAAATAACGTATAAGTGAGTAGATAATTGATGTACTCACCTTGGATCTGTCTTCATTGCAATATAAGTTCTGAAGCATGATATGTTACGTGTCCGGAAGTCGCATGTGAAACATTGGAAAGTCTATCACAGTGCAACTTTTTAATCTCATAGAATTTGCAGTAGATCAGACAGTGGAACAATTTTTTCCTTCGCATTTTATGTATGTCGCCGGTTTTCAATACCAGTAGATACATTTATAGAATAGTAAACGCAACGTCACCGAGCCACTGCTGTTCATAACGAATATAATTGTTTGACGTTGCAAAGAATTTCTATGCTTACAGTTTCATTGAATGGACGTTGAAAATAGCCATAGTTAATTATATTTCAGAATCTGATAACCTGGGCAGCACTGACTCAGAAGTAAAGAAGATATTAACGCTACACCTACCTATTTCAGAATATGATACACTTGGATCAGATTCTGAGATAGATGGAAGGGCAACTAGCCAGGAAATGATGTCATTCAGTCATAGAATGAGAGGTGAGGATGTAGATTAGTTGTATGACAAAATAAACGAACAGCAAACGTTTGCTTCATGTCATTGTGTTGTGTTGGTTTCAAGTATTCATTTTGCTACAGTATTTTTTTTTCTCATATGTATTTAACATGTCTGATGATATTCAAATTTAGTCATAGTTTCAAAGGGAACGATTCCTTTTCGAGCCCTGAAGAAGAATTTAGATCAATTCCGAAACGTTGACAAGAAAACAATTGTTTTTTTATGTTACCTAACAAAACTGTCTAAATCGTATTTCAATGTTGCACCAATTTCTGTTTTATTATAGGTGGAGCAGAGGGATCATCTTCTTCCTCTGAAACCTCCCCACATTCGGGGAGTATTGGCCGAAAGCCATTCCAGTCCCGTAAAGGAAAGGTCAAAGCCGGACCACTCAACAAGCGCCACGTAAGAAGTAGTAGTGGATATTCAAGTCACAATGAGGAAACCACTTTCAGCATTTCACACGCACCAAGTTTCAACGAAAGAATACACCCCCCGACCCGATTTTCTGATCTTAACGCCAGAACTCTGAGCGAATCCGAATATGAAAAAGGGCACAAACCGAGAGGGATGTCCAAACTGACCAGAGAAGCATTTCAAATCAATGTGTGAAAGTGGGTCTTCAGGAATCAGAAGATTGAATGTTCAGAAGTAGATCTGACTAAATGTATTCACTCGAACTATTCCAGATCTGCCAGGTCGCTTTAGAAATCCCCTAGTATTATTCGTTTTTATACCGTGATATACAGGTTTTTCAAAGCGGTCATTTTAAACAAGGTGGCAAATAACCATCTATTCATATTTACCATCCTGTCAAATCAGTTCGAGGCTGAAACGCATCGAACAAGAAAAATTTCAGCCACCCAACTTCAACATGACTCCAACTATTGTGAACAACCACAATTCAAAAATACTTGAATAAAGTCTCATGGTCCTAAATCCGCCTTGATCTTTGCATTTGGGATTCGGGATTCGGGATAGTCGTTTTGGCTAAGGGCTGATTTCAGTTCATCTAGTTTCTTGGATATATTGTGGCTGTCAGTGAGGCTGAGACCTGTGGATGATCCATTAAACTTCAGCAAACCCGTACTCCACATCCCAAGCAGCTCGATGAACACACGGACCACCGAAAAGCTTTTCATTATATTAATGGAGTTACCGATGGAGTGAGTCGATATATCAACTATAACTAACGACTTTCAAAACGAAAATATGTCTTGAGTAATCTACTGAAGAAACTTTTCAGTTTTCCATTTAGTGGAAGATGCTTTACTTTGTACAATTATCTTTGAATTGTTGTCAATCACAATAATGTGCATAACTTTCACAATTTTGATACCTCGTTGACTCACCCTGTATAATAAACAACGATTAGACGATTTGAATTGAAGGCAACTCAATCACCTAAATGGTACCAGAGAGAGTAGTTCCCTTAAAAATAAAAACTAAATTCCGTAATAATTTCAAATGATGATGATTCTACAAGTGTATATACAAAATGAATCATTAATTATACAGGGTGTTTCAAATTCGATCCTCACCATTGAGATATCGGAAACTATGAGAGATACAAAGATGGTTAAGTCGGGGCAAGGTTGCGCGTTTACCTGAGAAAGTTCTGAAATTCCGAGTATATTCGGAGATATCCGGAAAAAACAGAAACATCGGAAAATGATTTTTATCAAGTTTAAATACATTTCCGATGTCCTAACACTTTCTACCGTATATGTAATAAGTTTGTATCATTTCTCTTTTTTCTTCATCAGTGAAAGCCATTTTTCTCAAAAATTCAATGACTTGTACATTAACAAAATGTCATTGAATGTAACAAATTGAAAGTCAAATTTAGAAAGATTAAAGTCAAAGTCTGTTATGATAAGAATTAATTTTTTTCAATATCTCCAATTTTTTAAAAAAGGATGGCAACAAAATTCTACAGATTGATGAAATAACGGACTATGAACTTAAATGTGACCTATTGTTCATCTCAGAACACTGGCAAAACAATATGCAACTTGATGTTATAAAACTGAAAAATTTTAGTTTGTTCATTTCCGCTGAAACCGGAAGTGACCGGAAAGTGAAAAATATGTGAAAACTCTCCTCTCCACATACCATTTATCTGTACCAAATCTCGTTTTGATACACCTAATAGTCTAGAAGTTATGACTTGTCTAATAGATTCGTTGACACCCGGTATACTGTCAAAAATATCAAACTGACTTATCGAAAACATAGACAGAGGCAATCATAGTCCTACCACGAATCATGAGTAAAAGCCAGTTTTGTAAGATACGTTTGAACAAAGATTGGGATTCAACCTACGAATTCAGCAGGTTTGAGTGTTTTACATGTTCCGATCAATGAGAATCTTTAGATTGGCCAAGATCGTGTTGGCCAAGAAAATAACAATAAAAAATATCATTGTAAGGCATAGGCCAAGTTTTTCTATGTTGAATGTGACAAGGTGATTTATTTATGTTTAGATATTGGTAAAAATTTAAAGTTATCACATAAATTCCTTTCAGTTTTTTTTGTTCGAACTACTTTCAATTTTCTCATCAGTATATTTCCAGTAAAAAGGCATTATGATTGTTTGTTGAAGAACTTGTGTTGTATGTGAATGTGGAAGAAATTTTCAAGTCTCTTTGTCAACTTTCGATATCTTGAAAATGTCACCATTGAAATTCGACTGTGGAACTTGTGTCTCTGTACACTAGAGAACTCTTTGCTGCTAGTAGAGAATCAGTTAAGTATATAGATAAAATCAAAGATTCTTCAATAATTTGCCTAACGTCGTGGAGTAGTCGACCATTATAAACAAACATTTGAAACAAAAGATAAGTTCAGTCCAATCTACTTTTCACCAAAACATAGTCTGTAATTCTGAAAATTTTTATATTTTCACTAAAAAATGACAACTGTTTTAATCGGATCCTATAAAACACCGAAATGCTCCTGAGAGTTGAAACTCAGTTGAAACTCAGTTGAAACTAATCGAAAATCGTTAAACTCTCTTCACCTATAAACTGGCCCTAAGTCTATTCCGTAACATATAAACGAGTCGTTCCCCAGTGGGGATCTTTATATTAAAAATATTTTTTGAAGGATATGCTCTTAATATGCTCATTGCCTTAATATTTGCTAACAGGAAACGTTTTTAAATAAAGTGGTAAGGGGCCGTCCAATAATCACGTGAGGCTTAAAAGGGGGAAGTGGGTTGAGCAAAAAATCACGAAATATCACAAGGCGGAGGGGGAAGTAGTGGGATATCACGTATATTTATTTTCCTTAAAACGGAATAGGGGCGTGTAGTTAACTTTGGATCGTCGTTGCCAGGCAACGGACACACGCCCTGCGCGCTAACGTTGATCTTCAACAAAGCACAGTGCCACAGTATTTCTGTATACAGTAGTTTCACTCAGCGTCGGTCCTTCATTTGTACAATTTTCCCAGGTTCCCAACATGGTTTTCATAGACTGTATTTTTTTTAGCAGTTTATATGAATAGTTGTTATGTTGAGCAGTGTTGAGACGCTTTGGTTGGGATTGTAGTAGGGAGAAATGTCATTAGTGTCAAATACGTCAGCATTGTAAAAACTGAAACTCTGGACACCAACATCAAAGGGACCGACGCTAAGTGGGACTACTGTATATAAGTATACTGTGTCACTAACGTGTATTGAATAAATGGCTGAATAGAGTATACTTGAATTTTTTCGAGGGAAAGGTCATTCATCACATGGCATATTTGATAACTGAAACACCTGCGGAAAAATTCAGTATTAAAAGAAGGTGGAGTAACTATTCCCCTGAACTTTATATTGACGTTATGAAAACAACGTTGTTGTGGATATTTATAAGCGAACAATTTTTCAACATTACTCCACTGATAAAAGGTAAAACTGGAATCTCAGGCGTAAAATGAATCCAAAACAAACACTTTTCCTAATCACCAGAAATGCCATACTCTTGACGCGAATTTCAACAGATTCTTTAAACCCCAATCTAATTTTCGATATCGGCGTCGCTGTGTTGGCAGGTTTCAACCTCCCAGATATCAACGAAAATAGATTCCAAAGATCAAAGATGTCGCTTTCGAATGTAATTTCTGTTGATCATTCTGGGATTCGAATTTCTAAATGACATTAGAAACCAAGGTTGAGACATGTTAAGCAATGCCGTAATAACAAATATGGACTGGCCATTGAAGAAAGAACATTGACTCCAACAACAAACAAAAGATGGGATTCGTTGTGTATTCCGCAGGTGGAATATATGTAAAAGTCACGCTCAATCCATATTATCATGTCTAAGATATTGAGATGTTTTCTCCTCCTAAGAGCCGGAGCCAAGTTTCAACTTTCACGAAATAAAATTTCCGTTTTGGTGCTCAAAAGTAGTGATGTGCATAATCGAATTATCATTCACTCGCAATGCGCTGTAGAATTACCCAATAGACATCGGTAATACAGTAGTTGTTTAGGCCTCGCCAATTATTCACTGAAAATCAATCCAATGGAATGTGAATGTACCATAATAGATTAAACTGTGATTTTTACTGTAAACTAAGAACAATATTCCATTTTTATATATAGTGAATTTATTTTGAGTTTGTGAAATCATTGTTCATTTTGCTCATTAAGTTCTATGCTTCAATTTTGGAATGAAGTTCCATTCCATTAATATTTGAGATAACTCAATGCCGACCTTGTCTAAGATGCCGACCGTTCCCAAATGTGTTCGGTTTACATCAATCTTAGCTTAAAGCAGATAATTACTTTTGGCGGGAATAGCCCAATCTGGAAAA